GATGTATCCAATAACTTCCGAGCTGCGGCTGTGAGAGCCGCATCATGCCAATCCTGTGAAGGCTGTTCTACAGCGCAAGAAGAAGCAGGTCCGAGTGCAGTTGCAGGTGCAGAGATTCTGAGTCTATAGATTCTTCACATGGCTTTGGGCCTCTCTAACTCTCACGATGGCTCAGCCTGGTTCAGGAAACTGCGAGCCATTGAGCCACACTACAGTCCTCATTTTAAAGGCCTGGAAAATCAAGAAAATCTTCGCACCGAAACTGGACTGCTGCAGCCATGAGTGGCTTTCGGCATCAAAAGTTTGTCCGCGATGTGCTCTTGGTGCGCCGCATCTGCTGCTTGGACACGAAGCTTCAACAACAAATTGAACCGATGGTGCCGCTCAGCTGTGGTCAGGGTCCTCAGAATGAATCTGGACAAGTTTATGCTGACCAGGATCTTGGTCCATCCATCAACATCTGCTGGTCACATCTCTAGAATCTACAAGGCGATATATGGACAAAACAACAATCCGTACTGCCTTCGGGACAGCTCCCTGCAGGCTCAAAACCACAACTGTGAGAGCAGACAACCAGACAACCGCCCTTCTGTGCTTGGTCAAGCAGTTTGGAGTCCCGAACCGGAACCTCCCTGTAGATGATACCAGTTGGATTCAACGCAGAACCGAGCACCTAAGATGAGTCAGATGCCTCTCTGCCGCTGCCATACCCATCCTCAGAAGCATTGCTGCAAAAACTATTCGCATTTCAGATTCAACCACGGAAGCACCAGGGAGATGTGCACTCGCACACAGGGCTGAAGGCGCAAGACACTTGATTCACTGGTCGCCCCAAGACCACGTCCTGGATAGGTGCTGTGCGACACAAGTAGTGCTGACCTAGACATGCTGTACCGAATCAGCCTTGACTTTGCGAATCAGAGGTACTTTGGAGCAACCTCGTTTGATAGCGGCGAGCGAATGTCCGGCTCCAGCACTCCATCCACGAGAGATGGATTCAAAACTCAATCGACTATACCGGCTGATCAGCTACAGTATGGTGCAATATGGAAGTCCGGTGTATGGTGTATAGTGTTTGAGTTCATGCCTACCCTCTTCGCGGAAGCTCAACAATGAAATGAGATCAGCCTTGGACAACTTCCCGTCCAGAAGGCCCAAGCGAAATTGCATGGTCCCTTACTTGTCCTTGATTCCTCATTTTCCGATGAGAGCCCATACCAAGGATAAGGGCTCCCAGCCCGGAGTCTTGTAAAGAAGCCATGGAAGAAAAGGACCCCCTTGAACGGGTTGCCGCTTGCTTTTAGCGGTGTCTGGGCAACGGCTTGCTGTGAAGCTTTGCATTTGCACGCAGGCGGCCCAGCGACCTGCAGTGTTAGCAGCTAGCCATGGAGCGGCGTTCAACGAACCTGAGGAAGCCCATCGACACCATCATGGCAAACCCTGGTTCCAAGTTCAAGCTTACAGCGTCCGCCGCTTCTTGAATGACCGTACGCGGTGAGCACAGCATGCAAATCCACCATGGCTCGGTGATCAAAAGCTACCAACCACAAAAAAGCCGCCAAAACATGTGACAACATATTATGATGCCGTCCTTCTTGCACTTGCTGGCTTGGCGGCCAATTCAGCTATTGAAGGTCAAGTCTTTGGGTGTGGCCTTGTCGGGCGTCAGGCTGTGCAGCCATTGAAGCTTGCTTGCTTGCTTGCCACGGCAGTACTGGAAACCATTCGCTCAGAAACGCGAGTACGAGCGGTCTCCGCGCTCCAGTTTAGGAAGCACGCAGGCTGAAACGACGGACGGCTTTCGTGAGGTAGGGTTGCCATTGGCGTCGCACCAAAATGAGGAAAATTGACAATAACATCCGGGAGCCAACAGTTTCCGGATTCCAGAGCCGAGCTTGTAGCCACCTCTCAATATCTAATCTGACTCAGTTCCTTTCATGGGAACTCACGCTCTTTGTTTACTTGCTTGAGACGGATAATGCAAGACATCTTCTCAGAGTGGAGAAGACGAGGCAGTCCTCCTAATAGACCAGAACCGGTCAGTTCATCACACTTCGCCATACAAAAATCACATCTTTTTCTTACTGGCTCTTAGTCTTAGTAGGGAGGGAGGGAATGTGTGACATCCACGACAAAGGATAGCGGTAAGCTCTCTGGCTACCGCACGAAAAGCCATCCACGACTGACACGACTGGCGTGCGCAGAGCGGGCCTGGGCACGGGCTCTGGCTGATGCGTTGACAAACGGTTCGGCTCAGCCGCTGGGAGCCAGACCGCTCTGTGCTGCAGATGCCATGCAGATTGCATGTGTCCAGGTAAGTTTTCAAGGCATGCGTAGGGATCAGAAACGAACTGTCGTGAGTGTCATGAAGACTTGCATCTGCAAGAATACAAAACACAGGCACAAAGTGCGTGCTGTCACCTACAGCTACTACGTGCAGACAAACGATCCGCGCATTCAGGACCGGCGTGTTGCTCAGCGAACAGATATCACGCCAGCGATGAGAGACGTACGCAAGACAAGCTGCCGGATTGCGCAAGGCGAGAGCACAGCATAGTTTATGCAGAGCTCCGTGTGCAAATAAGCTGGCAGGAACCCTGGCTTTGAACGTTTAGCTGCGATGGACATGGTCTGCGCTACGCGAATACACGGCAACAAGAAGTGGCATGTCGCTTTCCGCATTGATGCAGGTGATGAAAGTGTGGGAAGTGCCCGCATTGAAGCAGCAACAGCCCAGTGCAGCTGGATGATGTTCACGGGCACTGCAGGCAGACAGGCAGAGCTCTCCCTGACGTATTGGTAGAATTGCAGACCAAGAGAGTTTCCGCACCATTGTCAACTGTGAAGTGTCCAGGCGGGGCATGAGTGTCAAAGGTTGCGGCACTGTGCCAAGTCCAGGCCACCCAAAAGCCGGGATGTGAGCCATGGTGTCTTTCCTGAGACATCAAACTCTCTGCCCACCGTCTCGCAGCACATGCACCTTGAGCGCAAAACTGCAGGGCTGCCAGACTGACAACACGTTCATGTGTGAAGCTCTGCGTGCAAGCTTCCGGCGCTTCGGTGCAAGGTTGAAAGCCACGAGACCTTCCATGGTGATGGTTGCCTGTTTAATGCGCTTGCCGAATGAAGCACTCAGCCTACTGATGGTCAAGGTATACCGTCTGTTCCTCGCTGCGAAGTGCAGAAAAAACCAGGCACTTTCTCACCACGACAGGCGTGTAGTAGCATCAAATACTCCAGGGTCGGTGTAACATGCCCTTGGACATCAATGTGCTAGCGGTCACATTGCCTCATCCACTACATAGTGACATGGAAGCCAAGCACTGACTGGTTTGACTTCGACATAAACATCCACCATCGATTGTTTGACTTCATCTGACCTGCTTGCAGCCGTCCAAATGCTATGGTGAGTATGGTGCATTGGAATGTGCTGTCAGGTGCTAAGCAACGCACCTTCCTGTTTGGCAACTAGCAAGGGAATGTCCACGATTTTGCCTTGCGTGCGGCGAACCTAAGCTCTTGGGCTGCATTCCTATTGGGACTCCATAAAAAGGAAGCCCATCGATGAAATCAGCTAGGTGCAGCTTCTGGCTTCAAAATCTTCAAATGCCCAGCTTGCGGCAACTGCCTGCTCAATGCTTAGTTCAAGTCCCTTCTTGGACAATCGCCCTCTCTGCTCAGATGCTTGGGACAGACAAGTGACAGAAGGCAGATTTTTGGGGGGTTGGACTCCTTTGTTGAGAGAACTGCCGTTGAGCGCTACCACGCGTGGCTGCCAAAATGGCGCAAATTCTCTGAACCGCCACAGAAATGCAGAAGTTGCTGCACATCTGCTCAGAGCGCAAACTTACCATTTGAGAGGGGACGTCACTCCAAGAATTGATGGGCACGCCTGGACCATATCATGCTCTCGCACGGAACGACTCATAGGGCGGCACATTCGCAGGTGCCCCGCCAGATCACACAGCTTTCTGGCATTCCTTGCTTGGGGTACCGGCCACAAACAATTGATGAAGGTCACTGCGCAGGCGGCCGGGCGCCGGACAGCAGAATCCCATCCTGACTCCGTCACTGCGTCTGCTGCTCCTCACTGATGACCTAGCGGGAACAGAAGTCTCAGGGAGAGGCAGGTGCGGGAGACAGGCGAAACACTGAAGCTGAAGTATGGTCAGAGGCGCGGGAGGTACCCGCACAGGCAAGTGTCGACAGTTACCGGACGGGTGCCGGGTGCTGTTGCTTGGGTTGCCCTGCCCAGGCCTTGTTTTTTTCTGCATTGGACAGCTAAAGACGGACCTGGTTTAAGTGAAAACAAACCTGTTGCAAGAGCTAAAAGCGCGTTTGCCCTGCTGCATCTGTTCAGCTCTGGCGCAGTTAACTTCTAGCCGAAAGCCGCGAATTCTCTGGACAAAAATTAGGCAACCCCAACCACCACCACTGCTTGGCACAACATCCAACACAAAGTGAAAGTCAGAGGCCCCTGCTGCTGGTCTTGCTAAACCTCGCCTCTTCCTACGAGCAAAGTGGGATGACGCTGCGAATTCAAATCACGACCTAGACCCCAGATGTTCCCAATTATTTCTCTGTTCACTAAGCCCCCCTACTGTTCAAGAACTATATCTGGACAGTCTTCGGAATAGGTTCGACTCGGCCCCTTTCCCCACTTTAGAGGACGGCTGTTTACTGGACCCACTCCCCATACCTGCCAGTAGCTGCTACTAGTTGCAGAGACACAGCCGCTGAGGCCTCAATTGTTAATCAGATTGGAGACTGCACAAACATGCCGCTGGCTTACTGCTTGACACATGTGAGCAAAAACTTACTGCACCTTGCCAATTGAAACATTTGACACTGCGAACCCTAAACCCTAAACCCTAAACCCTAAAACGTGTAAATACATCATGTTTGATGATGTATTTTGGCTGATCCATATTTTGGCACGGCATGTACGTCCAGTAAGGACTTGTTGAGCTGTTCGACCTCATCTGGCCTGCCTGAGGTTGTCACACAGGCTTGGCAATGTCGCGCCTGACAAACGCACTTAAAACAGGCTAGTGCGCACACTTGCTCACAGCTCTCAATGGACACGATACGCTGTGTTATGCTTTCTTGAAATGCACTGCTATCAAAGGAGACTCATCACTGAAGTCAGGTGTAGGTGCAGCTTGCGGTTTCAAATCCAGAATCGAGCCCTAGAATCCTAAACTCCTAACGTCCTAAACCCCGGCAATGACCTGCATGTCCAACGACAAAGCGCTGCAGCAGCCTCCGATGTCTGGCAGCTTCTCCACGACTTCTTGTGTCTGTTGGCCTGCGGGAACAGGGAGCAGCAAACCAGACAACAAATCACATGTCAGAAGCAACCAAGAATCATTCTCGCACAACCAGCTGACAAGCGGAAAAAAACACATCGTGGCCGCGAAGAGTGTGAAAAGATCCGAGGGCCGAGTCCCAAGCTTCTAGATGAAGGTTGAGGCATGTAGGGAACAGACCCTGAAGCAGTTCAATTTTTCGGGAAATTGCTTGCGATGATTTGTGATGGTTAAGTTGTGGTTTGTTGTGTGTGAGCTGAGTGCAATATACTGTACTGACATGGTATTGCGATGCGTCTTCAGAGTTCATTGGCAGTGACAACTATGTGAAGAATCATACACACCGTTGCAGGGGAAGGAAGAGTGAAGCAGCAGCCGCAGCAGCAAGGAAATACACATCCAGCCAACCGGTTGAGAATCATATGCTGCCGCTGTGACTTGAAAGTCGGAAGGTTCTTGATCGCAGTCCCGTTTGCAGGCTAACAACGTTTTATGTTTTCAAAACGGACATGTATGTAGAAACAAAAAGGCTGAAATGATGCTGAGACTGTTAGGATGGGAGGAACGAATCTGGGCAAGGCGGAGTTTAAGTTCTGGGTAAAAGGCCCGGCAAGTGGACGATGCAGTTTTGGTGGCCGGCCTTGTTGCACCCGCTCGCGATGCCCTGAAGGGCGTTGTTGCATATCTCATCCGTGGGCCATGGTAGCCTGGTAGCCTCTGTGCAGACGAAGCTCGCGTAGTTCTCAAAGCCAGACACCTTCACAGACTCCTGCAGGTTTGCACCCCGCTCCCTGCATGCATTTTTGAACATAACCCCTCCCAGGCCTTAAGGCTCCTTTGCATTGCCCTGGATCACCAGCTGCGGCTTCTCGACGTCCTCCTCGAGCTCTATATCCGCCATGTCCGCTGCAGCTTCCACAGCAGCGATGTTCTTCGACTCCTTGGAGTCCCAAACAGTCAAAACCCTCAAGCCCCAAAATCTTGGGATCCCACGAGCCTACTGCGAATCCCCCCCCCAGGCCTCGCAAGCTTCGTAAGCAAAGTAACACCAGGCAGCTGCAACAAAGCCCAAACAGAGTGTGGAGCTTCGGGGCTTCCTTTTGCAAGAGGGGCAGCATATCTCCCCTGGATCGTGGGGTCCCTCGCGTTGCATGGCTTCTCCGCGAGGACCTCACGTTGCTGGTGCTGCTTGAGGGCCAAAAAGCTGCGATGCTGCTACCCGAGAACTCTCAGATACTTGCCGCAAGTATATTGTGTCCTCTGCCCTCGGCGGGTGTCATGAGAAGCTATTGAGCAACCCAGGTTCATCTTGGGATTGGGAATGCCATCTTTAGAAAAGAAGCTAAAATCTGATGAATAGGCTTTAGGAGGAAATGTGCAGATCCACAAGACCTGTCACACATGTCTCTACATGCATGTTGCCTTTTTGGACCAATTCAGCACGTCAGGTTTCTGCACAGCGCGGCGCTTTGATGAGTGCTGCAAGCCAAACGAAATTTGTTGAGATCCAGTTCAAGTTTCGAAATGCTTCCGATTTGGTATTCTTTCTTTGGAGATTGCATCCGTACTGGCAGACTGTGCCGGGAGATTTCAGTGCATTTGCCCCCACGCCACAAAGCGGCAACATTTCTCGAGCATCCAAGTTGCGCAACCCAATGTGCCAGGTAGCAGCCCAAATTGCGCCGTGGCAAGTCTGCACAGTCGCTCACAACTGCTAGACGGTGTTTTGCAGAGTGCCGGCTTTCTGAAGCTGCTCGGCAAATCTCTGCCGTCCAGCGAGATCCTGGAAATGCCAATGAAACTCCAATAAAATCTTTGTCTGTGCCAGATCAAAAGATATGTTGATCCAGGTTCGTGATGAGGCCTGAGCTCTCGTGCGCCTGCGCCGTCGGCGGCGGCGGTGCTTGATCAGTTCAAACCTGCAAGTCTTGCTGCAGCGTTCTGACACTCCGGGTGGTCCTCTGACCAGCACACATGAATATCATCCTGACTTCCAGGGTTGTCCCTGAGCGCAGAGTATTCTTGGAGCAGGAGGCCTAGCTTTCGAGGTGAAGAGGAATACGAGGACTGGTGGATGCAAGAATGAGACTCTTAAAACCTGCAAAGCCGAGGCGAGCGCGAGAGACATGAGCACTGCAAGAAACATGAGCTGGCAACCCACGGCAAACTGCGGGCACATGGTGTGTCAGCTACCGGATGAGTGCTCAAAGGAGAGCTGAAGGTGCAACAGCCTTCAGACAAAATGATGTCACGCTGGCTCGCAGCCTGTCTAACTGACAACTTGTCTGATGAGAAAAGCGACTCCGGCCTGGTGACAGTCTTTCAGCTGGCGTTCAGCACACCTCGCTAGTTCAGCACCTCAGGCAAGTTACGCAAGCCTTTCCACTGAGCCTTCGACCTTCACCTAGAATTTGACTGTGCGCAAGTTCGAATGACAAGCACGCGACGCGTGGCCTTAGCGTACGAGGACCCCGTGGAATTCGACTCGGGGATGGACACTTCAGAGAGCTGGCTATCCGCAGCAGCACTCAACCAGCCTTGCGGTTTGAGCTTTGGCAGTGGGGTAAAGGCCGGACAAGTGGATACGTGGGTACAAGAAAGACGGTGCCCAACAGAGTTCCCATCACAGGGCCTGAGCCCGGACAAACGAACTGGCAAGACGTCGTGCCCATGCGCACCCATCAATGCCCAACAAGAACATGATGCCTGGGAGGAAGACATCAGCAGGTATCGCTTACTGTGCCACTGCCACACAGGTTGGAAGTTGCCGGCTCTCGTCGCTGCCACCAATTCTTATGAGGCTGAGGCGGTAGATGGTGCTGGCAGTTCGCGATGACAAGTTGGTTGGAGCAATCTACTGCGTGCATGGCATGACCGATGCAAGCGCGGAATTCGACATTTCAGATATCTCTCATGCTTGCGGTGGAACACATTTTTTGGCGGCTTGCATGCAGAACAAATGCAATGTGAAGCATGAGCTCGGTGTCCCACACGCTCGGACGCAGGAGGCTTCCGGTAGCCAGCTGAACGACCTTTCACTACCTGAACAGCATGGTCACTGCTGCAAGCAGCCTGGCTGAGACTGGCTGTCAGCAGAGACGCTATAAGCACTGTCACTTTGCACCGCTGCAGACACACGGGGCATCAGTTGGCACACAGGTGACAATCAAACATCCGCACCGGCACTGTGGGACCTCGTGGCAACTAGTGGTGTTCAAGTTGCTGACACGCAGGTGAGTGCCCCATACACTAGACTATGTCGGGCGGCTGGGCTGGAAGAAAACGAGCTGTGGTGCCTCAGGCCATCAGCGCTTGCAGACCACAGATTGTCTGCCACTGGCAGCGAGCTGGCCACGACCACCAGCGTCATCAATGCGAACAGCTACAGACACGTACTTCATCAGGTAAGAAGGCCAAATAGCTGTGCCCACCTGCCACCTTGCCACCCTCTGAATTGCAGAGTTGGAGTCCTTGTGCCCTGAGATTCTGTGGCTGTTGCTGCAGCACCCAGAACTATCGTCCCGGCGTGCGCACATGCCTCGCAGAAGCCTGGCAAGATGGCCGTGACTTGCGCGTTGCTGAGAACGCCCTCGAAGCCACGAGTTTTGACGCAACAGTGCCAACTTCTAGCAGATGCTGCGCACGCTCTGCCTTATGTCCAGCTTAGTGAGCAAATGACTCCTGTCAAAACCCACAAGAAGAGCACAAGGCAGGGTTGCCTACCCCGAGCATCTGTCACAAGTCCACACGCTTGCTGGGAAGCTCCATTCCTGGCTGTTCTGTGTGCAGCCAAAACACCACGCACAGCCTCCGCCGATACTTGAACAACTGCTCAAAAACAAGCCATGCAGTGGTACCCGCTGCCGGCAAGAAAACCAACCCAGCACAACCAACAATGATGTGCCGTGCGCTGGAGCTGACCGATGTTGTGCAACTCATTGAAGAGCCAAGTTACAGGAACCCGAGCGTGCGGAGCAACAGTGAAAATTCGGTTCTATAGCAGAACTTGGACACTCAGAAAACTGCCACCAAAGATAATGTGCGAGAGTTGCCTACAACTTCCCGCACATCAAGTTCGGCCGAATGCCTCGACTGAGCCGAATCCGCAGGTCTTATCTTCAACAACTGTTGACACCAAGGCCAACAAGCCTCACTGCAGCACACCACGGGCTGACGTCCATCCTTGCAAACTAAGCCGAAACTACTGAACTTAACAAGAATGCATCCTAAAAACGAAGCCGCTCAGCCTTGTGAGCGGTCCTTCTCCGAACTTATGATGGAGAGAAGGCTGGCAAGCCATCGCGGCTTCCAGTTGAGTACCTTGTTGAACTGGCCACAGCTTAAAAAAGATGAAACATGCAATGCATCAGCCTTGAGATTCATAAGATCTGAACGTGAAAAAAGCGCATGGATGTAGCTAACCTCCTTGGAAGAATGGCCTGGAATCAAGCTGAGAAGATAGGGCGAACCGCTCCGTTGCATGCAACTATCAGCGCTAGCAAAGAGCACCGGCGTTGGCACGTGGTGTATCAAGTGGGCATGCCCAGCGAAGCCCAGTGTACAGCTACCAAAGCCTTCAACTCAAAGCTTACAAGCAGGTGCCCACTGGCATCTTGGCTTATTGCTTTGGGGTCTTCAATCCCATGATGCAGCATCACCCGACCCTGAAACGTGCAATGCCACAACTATTTCCCTGCTTTCGTGCAGCATGTGCTGGTGTCGAAACCACTTGGTTGTGCCCATCTTGTCTTTGATGTGTGGTTGCCTGTGTTGTTTTAATGTGTCTGAAGACATAGTGGCCCATCGCACTAGTACCGTTTTAAATTTGCTTCGCCTTCATACTGGCGAATCACCTTTGTGAGAGCCCGTATCGGTCTGCGAATCTCTGGCTTCATTTTATTTCTCGCACCAACCACATAAACAAAAGTGCAAGAAAGATAACATTGACACTGGCTCAGCGCCTTGCTCTGCTTCCAACCTCGAACAGACGATTCAGGCCGCATCAGCGCGACTTGCCGGTGGTTGGCAAGAATCACCGTCCGTGGTGTCTCATGTACTTCGCTACCCCCTTGCATCTCCCTGCAGTATGCCTGATGACTGCAAAAACAGAAACCTGGCGAGACTTCGGCTGCTGGCACGTTGCTGAAAACATCCAGAAAGCCACAAGCTTTGCAAGAAGTGGTATCGATCCAGCGGCGCAGACTTCAAGCAGATGCGCTGATGAGCAGCACCTCACGCTCTCTCCAAACTTGTGGAGATGCCTTCTGGTTTAGAAGGTCTGAACGTCTTAACACGACGGTACCATGCACTGTTGGGACCAACCTGCTTGGAAGACTGGGCCGGAAGAAAACTGAGCAGATAGGCCCTGCTGCCCCATCGCAGGCCGCCATCAGCGCTTGCAGCAAACCGGTGCTCACCAGTGCTGGCAGTGCGTTCCAAGAGTGAAAACATCCTGCATCACTCAAGCAGCCCAGATATTTCTGCCCACCCACAAGTCCGTGTCTCATGCGCTCAGCTGCCACACGGATAACTTGCCTGATGACTGCAATAGCAGAAAACTGGCAAGATTTCGGCTGCTGGCACGTTGCTGTAAACACCTTGGAAGCCACAACCTTTGCCAGAAGTGGCATCTATCCAGCAGCGCGGACCTCAAGCAAATGTTATGATGCGCGTGCTACTTTTTTCGCAGCCTGCACCGGAGGACACATTGTTAAGCCTGAGCCATCCTGAGCGTGTTGGAGCCTCATAAGATGAGGGGGGGCTGGAAACCTGAAGAAATGGGATGAGCTGGGTCACAGGCAACTGATGGCAATACGGCCCAGGGCATCGAAAGGACATGCCCTGCGTACACAAGAAACCATCTGCGCCTTCAATCTGGGCAGCTGTGGATACAGCCTGCATCAATTAAGCAGGCCGAGAAATGGTGCCCACCTACCACCT